TGGCGTTGGGGAGGTGCCAGAGTTAAAAGGACATCCCCTGCTGGCTGGTGTGGCTCAGTGGTTGAGCGTTGACCCATGAACCAGGAGTTTCACTTCCCAGCCAGGATACATGCCTGGGTTGTGGGCTCCATCCCCAGTAGGTGCTGTGCAGGAGGCAGCCGATCAAGGTGCTGCATCCTGAGAGGCAGGGGGCACTGGGCTTCCGCAGGCTCCTGACCTCAGGTAAGCAGCTTGCAATAAGGGGGTGATACACACGGCCACCAGGGGGGCCCGCCACAGTCTCTGTAGCCCGTGTTGGGGTGTGCGGAAAGGTGGCAGGAAACCTTTCCATTTACTTGCCTCACGACCTGTTTCATTATATTCTTTCAAGTCTCCTTGAGATGGACCTGGTTGAGGATCTGGTGGGCCAGGGGTTCCTGTGGAATCAGCCATGGTTTCACTGACCAGTTCATCTGACCGTGGCCATGGACATGCCCAACCACACCCAGTGGAAATATGCTGGCAGCTGCGCCAACCCCTTCTCAGTTTACGTTTGGAGAATTATCTTGTTCCAGATGAGAACTTTTCATTGTTAAAATAGACCTCCTTTCCTCCGGGACCCCTCCTGTGGTAGAAAAGCTAGACTGTGACCCAAGAGGTGCACGCTGGCTCGGGGTGTAGGGATAATAGAGATACATTATCACCACGTCGGAGAACTTGTCAGCTGCCTCCACCCCCACCAAGCCCTGCAGTGTGCGTTCCCTGGGACGGGGATGTCCCTTTAAATTTAAAAAAAAAGGGGGGGGTTATTTATTTCAGAGAGAGGAAGGGAGAGGGATAGAGAAACATCAATGATGAGAGAGAATCGTTGATCGGCTGCCTCTTGCTGGGGATCGAGCCCACAACCAGGGCATGTGCCCTGACCAGGAGTCGAACCGTGACCTCCTGGTTCATGGGTCGACACTCAACCACTGAGCCACACTGGCCAGGCAGGGGCTGTCCTCCTAACTCTGAAACTTGCCTCTTATTTTCCTTGAACTCCAAGGTTGCACACTGGTGCCCACAGATGTGTCTTATTTTTAGCCAATTGTTTTTTTGTGGTTGCTTTTTTTAAGCTTTTGAAACTATGAGTGTTCACATAAAAATTGATTTCTGGCTTCTCTTTAAAAAAAGATCAGGAAGACCTGAAAAATGAGTGCCTGGTAAGAACCAGCTGGAGCTCAGTCGGTTGGGGAACATGCCCTTGAGGTCACCGCCCCCCACTGTCAGTTCCCACTCGTCCCTTTCCTTCTGCAGGGAAATGGTCTGTGCCTGCTGCTTCCTCGGAAGTGGCCACGCAAGTGACAGCCCAGAGGGCGTGTGCCCCCTTGACTGACTGAGGTAACGGGCCGCCCACTCCAGACACTTGAGCTCATAAACCTGTTTTAACCCATTTTCTCTCATGGACCTGCCTGGTTCATCACATTTCCTCCCAAATCCCTGATTGTGTAAAAGGCACTGCAATTACTGTCACTGCCCACTTTCAAGGTGACTGCTGTTCAGGTGCGGCTGTGTGACCAGTGCCACCACCCGGTCTCCTGGTGGGAAGTTAGTCTATGTCCTGGCCTCAGAGGAGGGCCAGCTGGGTCCCCTCAGTGCCAGGGGCCTTGCCCCGCCTGGTTGCCAGGCCTGTCCTCCCTCGGATGCCATCTTACAAAACTCCGGTGTGCAATTTGGTATGTAGTTGGAAACCGTGGCAGAATCATTGTAGCATTATGTTTGCCTCCTTTCCCCACTGATCCCTCCGAACTGCTGTCTTGGCAACAGGCAGGTTAGCCTCACATGACAGCCTGAGAAGCCACACTGCTCTCCAGTCGGTTGCCAGGTTAAACATGGGTGTGGCTCTGTCCACAAACTTACAGCACCTGGGTGTGACCAGACCCCCGAAGGGGAATGAGATGAGCAGCCTCCCGGATCTCCGTGTGTGTGTGTGTGTGTGTGTGTGTGTGTGCGCGCGCGCGCGCGCGCGCGCGCGCGCAGTGCCAGGCTCGCCGTCACACTGACGCCCCGGGAGCTATGACCCAGCCGTCTCCCAGGCCCCCTCCTCGTTCCCCCCACCCCCACCCCTGCAGGAGGGACAGACCTCCTCTGCCACCTCAGGAAAACCAGAGAGCTCCGAGGGCAGCTGTTGTACATGCGCTGCACCTGGGAGCCCTCGGGGCCTGTGGCTGGCGTGTGGGCACCCAGAAGCCCTCGAACCCAGGAGGGCGCCGTGGACAGCCCCGGCTCGTCCTCAGCGGGAAGAAGAGATCAGCCAGACAGAACCTGAGTGAATCCATGTCATGTTCACGTGGAAGACAACAGACAATATCCAACATGTTCTAAGACAGCACTTCTAGGCAACGGGCAGGCGTGGCTCCCTCGTGGGCCTGCTCTAAACCAGTCTCTCGAGAAGAGGGACCCAAACGAGCCTACGGAAACCCCCAAACCGAACGTCACAGCCACAGACATCTGCAAATCAAACGAGACACTGGATGTTGACTTTAACATATAAAAATACTATAACAAAATGAAATACAAATATATATTAGAATCTGTTAAGTATTCTGTATAAAGAGATACTTTCGTGGTTAGGCTAACAGCAGGCAAAGAGAGACGAGTCCGGCCTTCTCCACCTCAGACTCCGGGAGGCTCGGGGCTCCCCTGCTGCGTCTCTTCAGTGCGTGTTGAGTGGAAACAGCAATGGCGACGTCGATGTGAACTGAAGGTCTTCACCGAAGGGGAGGTGTGGAGATGACTTCTCAGATGATTTCGGGGTAGCCGCCTGGGACTCGATGGTAGCAGGCAAGATGCGTGGCGACCCAGGGCCTTCCCGACCGGCAGGGGGGTGGCTAAGCTGAGGAAACTTGGTCCTGGGGTGGGTGCACGGCTCTCTTAGCTCCTGGCTGCCTCACCCTTGTGGTGGCTCCCCATCTTCCAGCTCCACCAAGGCTGAGTGTGGGGCTGGGCTGGGCTGGGCTGGGCTGGGCTGGGGATTGAGGAGGGGCCAGCAGCAAGCTCACCCTCTGCCCTCCACACCCCACGGCGCTGGGCCTGCAGGGCGGTTGCCATCACCTGTCTGCGGGCGTCCTTTCTACTTCCTGCCAAGTAGCGAGGCCCCTGCCGTCAGGGCCCCTCGAGCCAAGGAAGCAGCTTCTCCAAGGCAGGAAGGAATGGCGGTGGCAGGGGAAGGGCTGCTTCTCAGGGCCGGGAGTGGAGGAACACCTCTGTTCCCTGGAAGGAACAAACTAGCTGCACTGGAACTTTCCTGCCGCCCAGCCTGGTGCTAGCTCTTCTCCAGAGCCCCCAGTGGCCGCCCAGAAACTCCAGGTAAGAGGGTTGCTCTGCAGCGAGGCCCACGCTGCTGTCCACAGCAGGCAGGGCACGGTGGCCTTGCTCAGAGCTACAGGAAAATAGAGCCCAGGCCAGGTGAGGCGCAGACCCAGCCATGCTGGCTCCTCCCCACTTGGGAGGGTCCTCTGCCCATTATAGGGGTCCCCAGACTCAAACTCGCTGGCTGGCCTGATCCTGTCCATGCCAGGCTCCCACGTCACAGGAGGCTCCTGCCCTCTTCTCAGCAGCAAAGCCCTCGTCCCCCCTACCCCACCCCCAGCTACCATGGTGGCGGAGGACACAGGCAGACGCCACCCCAACTCTGCCCACACTGCCCCACCCCTGCCTTCTGTCTGCAGATAGGAGCCAGGAAAAGGGTGTGCCCCCCCCCCTTGCCCACTGGATTCCCCAGGGGTACACTGTCCTGGGGAGACCTCTGGACCAGAGAGTGGCCTGTCTTCCTTCCAGCCAACTGCCTATTTAGGCTCAAAGATCATCTCTACGCTGTCGTTCTGCGGGGAAGGGAGGCATCTGCAGTCAGTCCCTTATTCAGTGACTGCGAAGACGAGTCCTTCCTTGCGGAAGCCTCTGGCGAGCAGCTCCGGCCGGGCCGTGTCTGCGGTTGGCGCCCTCGCTGGGCTCCCTCTCTCCCCGGCACCCTGGTCACCGCTGTGGTGCGCGGTGATCAGTCGGCAGGTGTCCACGAGGGCAGAACCCAGCCCCGGTACCCAGCCCCATCAGGCACACAAATACTCGATGTAATTGATGAAAATGGATCTTCTAACTCCTGGGGCCTCCCTCCTGGAGCCACAGTGGGAGGGCCGTCCGTCGTACCTCTCCATCTGAGAGCGGAGGAGACTGAGGCCCATGGGGGAGAAATTTGCCAGAGCGACAGAGCCAGCAGTTCCTGATGCCTGGGCCGCTGTTCCCACCTGGTCTGCAGCGTGAGGGGCTCTGGGCCCCGTCTCCTCAGGAGGAGACCCTCCCTGGCCAAGCAGCCTAGCCCAAGCCCCTACACCCTGCCCCCCACCCCCCCAGTGGCTCGCCAGCAGCAGGCTGATGGCTGGGGAAGCCCAGGACCAGGGCCCTTTGGTGGCTAGTGTCTGAAGGTGGGTGGCAGTGTCTACTCTGCTGAAACCAAGAACGCCCTGTCCTTTTCGGTGGGGTCCCCCACCCCAGGAAGTTCCAGTGACCGTTTCCTCCACATGAGTACCCTCCTTGAAGCTACAATGATCATCCCATAACTTTAGGATTCAGAGGTCTGGTCCTAAGACCGGCTTCCACCCCAGGCCTCGTTCCTGAGGTGCTCTGCCTGCCAACCAGCCCAGGGGCAAGGGGCAGTCCCTTCCTGGCCAGCAGGAGGGGCCCTTCCCCTCCGCAGCCTGGCCTCCTGCCCACCGACAAGCAGCAGAGCCAGGCTGGGAGTCCTTCAGGGTTCTCTGCAGGGGCAAGGGGTTCTGGGGCCAGCATGGGCTGCAGACACGAGGGACAGGCTGGTTTGGGAAGGGGCAGTCCCTTCTTCAGAGCCAGGTCACAGGCAAGGAGGGAGTGTCACCATTCTGCACTTCTTGGCCTGACCTCACGCACATATTCATTCAACAGTATTTATTAAGCGCCTCTTTGTGCAAGGCACTTCCGGGAGGGCGGTCTGCAGCCAGGCCTCGCCCACCCGCTTGGCCCCCAGCTGCTCGAGTTCGGCTTGAGAAAAGCTGCCTGGCCCCTGAGAGGTGGGCCCCAGCCCGCCCAAGAGGGTCCAGCCATCCAGGAGCCGCCTGGCGATGGCCCGACCCCAGCCCAGGTCTCCTGGTGGCCAGGCTTCTCGCCAGCCCCCTCCCCGTGGGCACTGGGCGCTATGCGCAGAGGGCACAGCCACACTTGGTGGGCTTCTCCACCTCCTCAGCGAAGGAGGTCCCGTCGCTGCACTCGAAGGTGAACTTCCTCCGCTTCAGCCGCAGGCCCTGGCAGCAGCCCCGGCCCGGGCAGGAGCCCCGGCACTCCACCCACGACAGCGGGGCGCGTGGTCTGGCAGATGGCATAGCCCCTCTGGACCTGGTGAAAGTCCCGGACAGGGTCCCCCCGGCACTCGGACTCTGGATGGGACAGATACCAAGAGAAAGCCTCAGGGCACAACTATGGGCCAGTTCTGCCCCCTGGGAGGCAGGAGGAGAAAGAGGAGGATCGAGGGGAGCGGGGGAGGCGGAGGGCAGCATCCGCGGACGGTCCTCTAGCTCTTAGAGCCCACCTTGGCCCCAGCATCCTCCCTGCCCACCATGCACATGCACAGCTTCCTCCCGGGCCACCATGAGGTCAGTGGGAAGGAGGGACTTTCTAGCTGCCCGGGCCTCCAGCACAGATGCAGCTGACCGGCTCTGGGGGGTGCGGGGGGCGGGGGGGGGGGAGCTCCCCGCTGCTGCAGGAGTGCAAGAGGCTGGAGGCCTGGGAGGCAATAATGTTGGAAAAGGAATTTGTGCTGGGAGGGTGTGGCCTCGGGACCCTAAAGTGCCTGAGTTCTGGATTCCTCAAGACACCCCCCCTCCCCCAAGCGCTCTCTATTCCAGCCGAAGCATCTCAGTCACGCAGACCAGGGCTGGGAAGGAGTCTCCAACCCACAGACTTGTGCTGCTCCCGGGTCTCAAGGTGATGGGGCCATGATGCAGAGATCTGGGCAGGAGCTGTTATCACCATCTCTTCTGTAAGGAGAAATCCTAGCCAGAGGGGCACTTACCTCAGATACGGGGCTGCAGGAAAAGCTGGGCCACGGAGAGATCGGGGCCCTGTGTGAA